GGAGGGAGAGGAGGAGAAAGGGAGGAGGAGGAGAAGGAGGGAGAGGAGGAGAAAGGGAGGAGGGGGAGAAATAGGAGGTGGTAGCGTGGAAGAGGTAGAGAAAAAGGAGGAGTCGGAGGAGAAGATCGAGAAGGAGGATGTAGAAGAGGCGAAGGAGACGGAAGAGAAGGAGAAGGAAGTAGATGATCCTCCAAGCCACGGCGGTTGGCAGCATGACCCCATAAACGCGATAGGCACGGTAGCATGGAAGACTGACAGTTCTTACAGCTCTATGTCATGGCTTTACCGACATTCTGACACGCGCAAGCTATGAACTAAACCTAAACTAAGCCGACTATCTGGCCACCTAGCTACTGCTACGCACCAGCGCTGAGCGTGTCGAAACCCTACACGCTGTGCGATCTCCGAACCCGATCACGTACGTAACTGCCTACTGTCAGCAATTACTGACTTTGCATCGATAAAATTTAAAACCGTCACAGAGTTATGGAGTTAACCATTCATTAACCGTTCAACATATCTCATCGAAGTGATTTCGATTCAAAATCATAAAATATATTCACAATACATTACACTACCAACAAAATCTCACTGCAATGATATAATGTGATAATAATAATAATAATATTAATAATAATAATATTTAAAAAAATGTTTGAATAACCGCAACTAATAGGTTTGTGTTAACGACTCACTAAGCAGCTTATAACGCATTTTCTTATCTACATACTCAGTAATTCATTTTTGCCCTTATAATCTAGTAATTAATAAAATAGCCAAATAGCATTTTAAACATTACACATTCTTTGTGTCTATAGTGGGCTCCATGAATAGAGCAACGTGCTCAAAACTACCAAGATTCGAGCGTATTGTACGCACTTCGGATTCGAAAACTCACAGAACAAAGCAGTGGCGCAGGTGGAGAGTGACACAAGTCTCCTATTAGAAACACGCCACACTACAACTACACTAGGTGAAATTAGATTAGAATAAATGCGGATTTGCACGTGCTATATAATAAGAATATCGAAAATAAAAATAGCGAGGAGTGAAAGACATGGATGGCTGCCACAGATTCATTTTCGCGGTTTATTATTTACTTATATGGCGTCGACAACCCCCCGGGATATAAGGATATAAATATCTTTCTCGTCTGCAAATCTCATCCGGTGCAGACGGCGTTGAACGGCGCGATGGTCAGTTTTACCCTTTATAACACGTACTATAGCTCCTTTAACGCGTGCGAATCAAATGCATCGTGTGTTGCGTT